GCACCACCCCCGCCGTCCTACTCGACCCCGCCCACGACCGCGACCAAGGCCAGACCGCCACCACCGCCCGCGAGGAAGCCGTCGTCCCTCGCCGGCCCTGCACCGCCTCCTCGAGCGGCCACGCCTCCCTCGCTCGCACACGCACCTTCTTCAACCTCGTCGGTTCCTCCAGTCGCCCCCTCGTCGAGTCGCCCCATCCCTGCGCCGCCCTACAGCCACGCCGTCGCGCACGACCTTCCGACCGCCGCACCTCCTCCCTCCCTTCCTGCACGCACGCCTGCGCCATCGCCGCCCGCCTCCCGCACGGTCGAGCCGACGCCGACATGGAAGGCGTTCAGCGCGTTTGACGAGCGCGACAAGGCCGATCTCTTCTCGGCCCTCGACTCGGTGCGCTCGCCTCTCTCTTTTTGTCTCCCTCCGCGTAGCCCTGACAACCTGCCCCCCCTTTTCAGTTCTTCGGCGCACGACTCGAGATCACCACCACGAGCTACACGACCGAGGTCGACGAGGACGAGGAGCCGCACGCCGTCGAGCCAGCGCCGTACCTCCCTCCGTCTCGAGCGGCCGCCCCGCCGCCCGTCGCGAGCGCAAGTCGCCCTCGACTCGCACCAGCGTCATCCTCCCTCTCGTCGTCGCCAGCTCCCGACCGCTTCGCCCCGACGCCCAAACCGCCCGAGCTGCACGTCCCGTCGTACCCTCCCCGCGAGTCGCACTCGTCGGCCGCCCTCTCGCTCCTCCACTACCTCACCTCGCACCTCTTCTCGTCGCCCTGGTTCGTCCACTCGCCCTCGCCGACCTCGTCCCCGCTCCCGCCCCCACTCGTCGGCCGCACCGACCTGCGCTTCACCGCGTCGTGGTCGCAGCGCAACTCGCTCAAGCAGCACGTCGGCGTCGCCCTCTTTGCCGACGCTTCGGTCGCGTGGTGGCGCATCTCGTGGACGGCCGAGTCGGAGCGCGCAGGGCGGGCGCACCTCGACGCCGAGCGCGACGCGAGGTACCGCCCGCGGCCGGACGTCGCGAGCTGGGACGCGCACGCCCTGTACGCGCACAGCGAGGCGCTCGGCGCGGCCGTCGCAAGCTTTGCCGAGGACGCGGTCGAGCGCGGCGAGCCCGTCGCGAGGGGCGAGTGCTGGGACCTTGCGAGCGAGGCGCTCGGCGCGGCGGGCGCGGCGGCGAGCGGCGGCGACAAGGCGTTCCCGAGCATCGGGAGGACGCACGGCGCGTTGCTGTACCATGCGGCGGCGGGGCAAGACGGGACGTGGACGGGAGGGGACGCGTACGTGCGCGCGGGCGACGTCGTCGAGTGGAGGTCGGTGCGGATCTGCGAGGTCGGTGCGCGGCGGGGCGAGTACATGATGCTCGGCGATCCAGATGTACGCCTTCTCTAGTACAT